GTACTTGTGTGTTGAGTGTATGTAGAATTTAGATGGGAGAGAGAGAATGAATGAATTTAGAGTAGAGGGAGAGATAGTAACTACATGTGTTGCTTTCAAAATAGAAATTGCAAAAGAGAGTTTTGTTGTGGTTGTGTGAGAGATATTGTGTGTAGAAAACATAACGTGAAAAGGGAGAGAGATGGATTGACCAAATTGGAGAGTTGAAAAAAAGTTGGCAAATCGTAAAATCGTACGGAATGAAGTGGTCCTCGAATGGGAGAGAGATTGTTTGTGATATAGGTAGTGGTGTTCTGTTGGTACTTCCACTTTCAGGTCAACCAAAGTGTTTGTGTGTGTTCTCAAGAGAGAAGGAGAGAGAAAGATGAAGAACACAGAAAGGGAGAACGATAACATTCAGAGGCGATGAGAGATGGAGATATGTACAGGTGAGGTGACTGTGGATTGCAGTCCGTAGTATGCACAGGCTACTTGATGCTGAGGAGAACGGCCGAGTCATGGTGGGTCAAGTCCAGGGGAACCACAGCTGATGATGGCTGTTTCTGCTGCTGCTGTTTGCTTCGGTTGGTCGTCAGCAGAGAGCTCCTCCAGTTCTGCGGCGGCTTGGGCAGCTCCGTTGGCGATGGAGTGACGCACGACTTGGAGCCAGCAAAGAGAATGGGCTCGCCTCCCCCTAGCTGCTGCATCTGTGACTCGAGCGCCGAAGCGGCGCCCTTGTCAAAGTTCAGCTTGAGCGGCTTGAAGAGCTGCATCGCAGAGTCGGAAGCCTTGCCGTTGGTGAAGTTGTTGGCGGTGGTGCTGTTGGCTGACTTAGGATTGGGCGAGTATCGCTGCTGCTGGTTCTGTGCCTTGGGAGTGCGAAAGGGAGCGCCACTGGACTGAGATTTTTTGTAGGGAGTGCTGCTGTTGTTGTTGTAGGTGTTGCTGCTGGTGTAGATGGTGGTGGCAATGTGTTCGTCAACTACGGAAAAGCCGTTGCACCTGTACAGCTCCTTCTGAATGAGCAGGTTCTTTTGGTAGCTGTTCTGGTAGCCACCACCTCCTTTCTGATAGCCTTTCTTGCCGATGCTGGCCGGCAGTCCGATCGAATCGTGTTGTTTCTTGAAGACGGGGCTTCCGCCGTGAATGGGAGCGCTTACTCGGATCATTTTGTTTCTCATCAGTAGATACATACGGAGTGTGTGATATATACATCAATCTGGGATAGCAAAGTGAAGGTGACAGTGACGATGGTGGAGATGGGTAAGATAAATGGTGACGGCAATGCGAGTAAATGGAAGCCATTGTTGGCGTGTTAGAACAATTCGAACAGTGAAAAGAGCAAATGAACCGACTTACGAGTGAAAAGCGAGCGAGTGAGGATATCACACACCTTAGGACCGGAGAGTGAGGCGGCCGAGAGTGTGTTGAGGTGTCGGTGAACAACGACAGCACAGGCGGCAGACGAGACACTCCTTTGTCTGGAAAAGTGTGTGGAGGGCGCTCTTTGAGAGTGAGAGAGATAGGACTTTTGACTTGGAAAGACGTGAGATAAGAAGTGAAGAAAGCTCGGTGTGGTTAACCAGCAAAAAAGTTTGGTAAGATAGAGAGAGAACACACGGATAGAGCGAGGCGAGAGAGAGAGATCAAAGTGCCAAAGAGAGAACAAATCGCTGGGCCCGCGGTAAAAGAGAAACAGCAGCCCAACCAGCAGCAAGACAAGGACAAGGAATTGACCTTTCTTCTTCTGACGAGCGCGCTCCTGAGTGCCCTGGGCTGCGTCACACTGACTGAGAGTGTTTGGCTTTTGACTCGGGTCCAAAGAGGATGAGGAGAGGGAGAAGGAAAAGGATTGCTAGAGTGAGATGAGGGATGAGGGATGTGATGTAATGTACAGCGATGAGAAGAAAGAAAGGATAGGACTGGGATTGCTGGTGAGAGCAGTCGGAGAGAGAGATGAAATGAAACTGAGCCAGCGAGCCAGCGAGCGAGCGAGAGAAAGAGAAAGACAACGACGAAGTTTTGTGCTGTGCTCGCTGGCGACTGCAGCGCCGCCAGAGCGAAAGGCTTNGCCAGCGAGCCAGCGAGCGAGCGAGAGAAAGAGAAAGACAACGACGAAGTTTTGTGCTGTGCTCGCTGGCGACTGCAGCGCCGCCAGAGAGAAGGGCACCGACGTCGGCGGCCTCGTTGTGCGGCAGCGCCTGCTTTGAGTGCGTCGTTGCAGTGCGTTCAAACTCAGCAAGAGCAAGAGTATCCCCTTCGTAGTGGAGTTGCTGTGAGTATCCAAGGGAAATGCTGCTGCTGCTTTGGAAAGAGAAAGACAGGGACAGCTATTACGTAGCTGTGCTTTGCTGGCTGGCTGGTTGGCAGGAGAAATGCTCTGATGATGACGGAGACGGCGCGCGTGATGATGACTGCTGCCAGGCGCGCTGCAGTTTCTACTTCTACTTCCACTGCATCCCGTGATGCAAAGAGAAGTCAGTTACAGCCGGTTTATGATTATTTGCAACAACGCCGAGCAAGGCAGCAGCTATCTTTGGTTGAAGGTAATCACTGGTGGTGGCGGTCTGAGTAATCACCACATTACCACCACCACCAACACAACCACCAGAATAACGTGCAATATCGGTACTCGAGGTGGTGTTGGTGGTGGTGACAAACTTGGTTGCAAACAAATCCTCAAATAGTGCAGACGCAAGCAAAGCTGTTGTTGTGCTGGTGGTGATGATGATGATTTATGCCGAGGCTTAAGAGCACTCTTTTAATTAACACATTGCTAAGGTTTACGAGGTTCACAGACAACAGCTGCAGAAACAGCAACAACATTGGCGGCGAAGAGAGAAATCTGCTGCTGCTGAAGAGCAGCAGCAACGATGGTGCCATCTTTACCTCGTGCTAGATGATAGTTGGCCGCCGAAGTCGTCCTCTGAAATGGCCCTAGGCTAGGCGACGAAGCCCTTCTGCTGCAGCTGCTTCTCATCGTAGTGCTGTCCGTAGTGGTACTCCCGCAGGGGCACCTCAAAGTCAATCAGTCCGTAGCTCTTGGCGAGGGTGACCGCGACGCACAGCTTCTCGTACTGCTCGCTGCACAGGCAGATGACGGTGTTCGGGAGGACGTAGCCGGTGTGCGGGCTGATGAACTGATTCAGCAGGTCGACGTTCTGTTATCGAAGCAGANGGCGAGGGTGACCGCGACGCACAGCTTCTCGTACTGCTCGCTGCACAGGCAGATGACGGTGTTCGGAAGGACGTAGCCGGTGTGCGGGCTGATGAACTGATTCAGCAGGTCGACGTTCTGTTAGCGAGACAGACAACAAAGCAATTGGCATTTTTGGAATGCTCAGTGGTTAATGATCAGTGAACGCCGTCAGTGAAATGAGCCGTGTCCGCGGCGGCGGCGGCGGCCTTGGTCACTCATTGCCTCATTGGACATTACTCACCCGGTAGTCGACCACCAGGTAACGATCACGGCAGATGACGCACGGATTGGAGGTGGTAATGAAGCCGTCCTCGACGCAGGTGATGCGCGGCTTCGCCGGCGAGATGACGCCCTTGAAGTTGCGCCGGAAGAGCTGCCAGATCTTAAAGTCCCGGTAGGTCTCCTTGAAGGCTGAAATGACGTAAGGAAAACAGAGAATTAGTAGTCAAACCACAGCTAGAACACTTTTTGCCGTACCATTGCTCTTCATGTACTGCAGNGGTAGGTCTCCTTGAAGGCTGAAATGAAGTAAGGGAAACAGAGAATTAGTAGTCAAACCACAGCTAGAACACTTTTTGCCGTACCATTGCTCTTCATGTACTGCAAACCGACNCCGTCCTCGACGCAGGTGATGCGCGGCTTCGCCGGCGAGATGACGCCCTTGAAGTTGCGCCGGAAGAGCTGCCAGATCTTAAAGTCCCGGTAGGTCTCCTTGAAGGCTGAAATGAAGCAGGGTAAACAGAGAAATAGTAGTGTCAAATCACGGCAAACTTTGCAAAGTACCATTGCACTTCATGTACTGCAGACCGACTTCCAGGTCGACGGGAATTCGCCGGTCTCGACTAGGGTCAATCTTCTTTCCTCCTGCCCCTTCTCCTGCTCCTCCCTCCTCATCCTGATCATTGGTCTGCTGATCATCAGAAAAGGGACGAGCGTGGACGTGATTATGGCCACAGGTTATCAAACTCGGCGTCGGCAATGGCCTGGAAACTGCCGCTCTTTGAGCCGCTGCAAAGAGAAAAAATGAATTNTATGGCCACAGGTTATCAAACTCGGCGTCGGCAATGGCCTGGAAACTGCCGCTCTTTGGGCCGCTGCAAAAAACAGAATTAGAACCAGAAACTTGAAGCTTTACTTAAAGCGGCGATATCACCTTTCAGCGTAAGGTACTCCTTGGGCAGCTTGTTCACTATGCTGAGCACCTGTCGCCAGGCGATGGAGTTCATCTTGGATGAATAAACGAGACTTTACTAGCTTCGTAGAGTGAAAAAGGGATTCTTGAAAAACAGCTAAAGATGATCTTCGGTTTTGTTTACAGCTGTTTTGCCGCTGCTGCCGTAGCCATGTGAGTGGGGTGTAAATAGCCTGCACATGCTGTGTTTATCATTTTTCGGTGAAAATCACCTTGGCTGAGTAAAGCGGTGGCGGCGGCGTCTGTTCCAAAATATTTATCACCATCATCATCATCAGATTTTCCTTATCGGCCTGTACAAATTGCTAAACAAGGATGCGCCTTCACCTGGTTCGTGCCATAGGAAGGCCGGCGACACTTCAACTCGTAAGTAGAACTCTTTAACTCAAGGAGCTTTCTAATCACTTTTTCCTGAAATAACAAACAGAAATCAACCCTCGGAAGGTTACAATGCCGGTTCAACTCTCAGGCCTCTTCCGTTTCCGCCTCCTCAAAGGAGGCCCTTGAGCGCATCCGCAACATCGGCATCTCGGCGCACATCGACAGCGGCAAGACGACGCTCACCGAGCGGGTCCTCTTCTACACCGGGCGCATTGACGCGATGCACGAGGTGCGCGGCAAGGACCAGGTGGGCGCGAAGATGGACTCGATGGAGCTGGAGCGGCAGCGGGGCATCACCATTCAGTCGGCGGCGACGTACGCCACCTGGGCCGGTCACAACATCAACATCATCGACACGCCCGGCCACGTCGATTTCACGGTGGAGGTGGAGCGGGCGCTGCGTGTCCTCGACGGCGCCATCCTGGTGCTCTGCGCCGTGGGCGGCGTCCAGTCGCAGACGCTGACAGTGACGCGGCAGATGAAGCGCTACAACGTCCCCTGCGTAGCCTTCATCAACAAGCTGGACCGGATGGGCGCCGATCCGGGCCGGGTGCTGGAGCAAGTGAGGGGGAAAATCGGCTACAATGCCGCCTTCATGAACATTCCTATCGGCGTGGAGAGCCACTGTAAGGGACTGGTGGACCTGATCGGGCAGAAGGCGGTGTACTTTGATGGGAAGAATGGGTGAGTTATACTTTGATTTCTCTTTGAGTTCTATTTCTATTTCCACCCCTTTTTCCCAGTGAAATCCTCCGCTACGATTCGATTCCCAAGGAGATGGCAAGCGAATCGGTGGACCGGCGGCAGGAGCTGGTGGAGGCGGTCTCCAATGTGGACGACCAGCTGGGGGAGATGTTCCTCGAGGAGCGGAAGCCCACTGATGAGCAGCTGATGGTAAGGGATGATCATTTTTGTTTATTCTCACAAGCTTTTTCTAAATCACCAAATCTTCTTCAACTTTGTTAGGCGGCCATCCGGCGGACCACCATCCAGCGCAAGTTTGTGCCCGTCTTCACCGGCACCGCCCTCAAGAACAAGGGCATCCAGCCGCTGCTGAACGGCGTCGTCGACTTTCTGCCCAACCCCGCGGAGGTGAAGAACTACGCCTTCATACAGAAGGTGGGCGAAAAGTCAGTCGAAGGCGAAGGCGAAGAAACAGCCGCTCAGAGGATCGAAATGAACCCCGAGCGGGAGACGGCCCGCGAGCACACCTTCGTCGGCCTCGCCTTCAAGCTGGACGCCACCCGCTTCGGCCAGCTCACCTACATGCGCATGTACCAGGGCTCGGTCAGGCGGGGCGACTACATATGGAACGCCCGCACCGGCAAGAAGGTGAAGGTCTCGCGGCTGGTCCGCATGCACGCCAACGAGATGGTCGACATTGAGGAGGCACTGGCCGGTGACATTGCCGCCCTCTTCGGCATTGACTGCGCCTCCGGTGACACCTTTGTCTCGGACCGCAGTGCCGCCATCTCCATGGAGTCCATCTTCGTCCCCGACCCGGTCATCTCGATGTCCATCAAGGCGACGGCGAAGGAGTCGATGGACTCCTTCAGCAAGGCCATCCACCGCTTCACCAAGGAGGACCCCACCTTCACCTGCGCCTGGAACGCCGACAACAAGGAGATGATTGTCAGTGGGATGGGCGAGCTCCACCTGGAGATCTACGCGCAGCGCATGGAGCGCGAGTACGCCTGTCCGGTGGTGCTGGGCAAGCCGAAGGTCGCCTTTCGGGAGTCCCTTAGTCGGCCACTGCGCTTCAACTACCTCCACAAGCGGCAGTCGGGCGGGGCGGGCCAGTACGGGGCGGTCATCGGCCTGCTGGAGCCGCTGCCCATTGAGCAGAACACGAAGTTGGCCTTCAGCGACGAGACGAGCGGCCCCAACGTGCCGAAGTGCTTCGTGCCGGCCATCAGGAAGGGATTCGAGGAGATGTGCGAGCGGGGGCCGCTGACCGGGCACAAGATCACCGGGGTGAAGTTTCGCCTGCAGGACGGCAAGCACCACATTGTCGACTCCAGTGATATTGCCTTTCAGCTGGCGGCGCAGGGCGCTATGAAGCAGGGTGAGTGATGGTTTTGTTTTAATCTTTCTTTGCCAATATGTTTTCATCTCGTCTTCATTTGCTCCCCACAGCCTTCGAGTCAGGCAGCTGGATGATCCTGGAGCCGATCATGCACGTGGAGGTGAGCGCCCCCGCCGAGTACCAGGGCGACCTGATTGGGCTGATGACGCGGCGGAACGGCCTCCTCCAGGCCACCAATGAGATTGACAGCTACTTTGTGGCTAATGCCGAGGTAAGTCGGTGGTGGTGGTGGTAGACAATGCGCGAAGGAAGAAGAGGATTATTGCATCATTGCACGCCAGAGGCAATGCTGATTAATCCTCTCCTTTCTCTCTCTCTCTCGCCTACCTTTGCAATGAGTCATCATCATCATTTTAATGCTTAATGATTTCTATTTCTCCCTCACCTTCCCCGCTGCAGATACCCCTGAACGACATGTTCGGCTTCGCCACCGAGCTGCGCACGCTGACCCAGGGCAAGGGCGAGTACACGATGGAGTACTCGCGGTACTCGCCGACGCGTGGAGACGTGCAGAAGGGCCTACTGGATGCCTACCAGCAGCAGCTGGCCGCTGAGGCGGCTGCCACCGCTTCAAAGGCCAGCAAGAAGAACTGAGTAGAAAGATGTAAGGAGTGCCGTTGCTGCCGATGCTGAAAGGGAAAAGCCTTGAGCGAGCCGCTGCAGCCATTGTCTCTGTACATTTTCTTCATTCACACCACCACTGCAGGTTTCCTTTGTACATATGTCTTCAACGTGTGATGTTGCCCTGCTGGTGTGTGTGGTTGTAGTGGCGGCGTCGGTGGAAACCCTTAGTCCAAACAGTTTTTGCAATTTTTAGCCTNGAGCCGCTGCAGCCATTGTCTCTGTACATTTTCTTCATTCACACCACCACCACCACTGCAGGTTTCCTTTGTACATATGTCTTCAACGTGTGATGTTGCCCTGCTGGTGTGGTGGTAGTGGCGGCGTCTGCGGAAACCCTTAGTCCAAACAGTTTTTGCAATTTTTAGCCCACTTTGTTAACCAATTTGCTTTTGCTACGAAAATACAACCATGTTCAAATATATTCGCAGCGAGTTTTGGCGGTATTCCAAACGGGAAAAAGATGACAAAAGGGATGCTAAATCGGGTTATCCCGCTGGTGGATCGTGGGTTTTCCCCGGGGTCTAGCGTTTCTGGGTTTCGAAATGAGGCAATCAGACGACATGGAAAGGAAAGGCGAGAGCGCGCGCCGTAGCCCGACTCTCCTGGCTGTCTGTCTGCAAAGTGGGCGGAGCTTGAGGCTGCCGTCGCCTTTGCCANTTTTCCCCGGGGTCTAGCGTTTCTGGGTTTCGAAATGAGGCAATCAGACGACATGGAAAGGAAAGTGAGAGCGCGCGCCGTAGCCCAACTCTTCTGGCTGTCTGTCTGCAGAGTGGGCGGAGCTTCAGACTGCCGTCGCCTTTGCCGNCATTCAATCTCGAATCCCTTTTCTCAGCAGCAAGAAAGCGAGGAAACATAACTTTCCTCAAGTGTTCAGCTCTCTAGTGAGTGCTCCAGGGCTTCTAGGGCCGCTAACCAGAGTGCTACCAAGTCAGCTTTCGGCTCAGCGAGAATTCTCAACTCCGCTCATCTCTCCTCTTTCTTTTGTACACAGATTTTCTACTTCGTTTCAGTGATATACAACCGCATTTCTTTTTCATCTGCTCATCCTTTTCCACCGAACAGCTTCACTCAGTTTACCCTGCCGTAATTCACCGCACCCTCATCAACTGCAATTTCCACTTGACGACCTCTTAAGTGAGGGAGCGATCAGTTCCACTACTTAACAA